TCGAGTTGCAACCAGAGTCACGGAATGGATTAAGTTCGTAACTAGAGGTACCACTGTATTTCTTTGGGGGAGGGATTCAGTGCTCCTTCTGTCTGGATCTCTTTTGAGAGAACTGTTTGTTACTAGGAATGAGTGGCAACAATCTACCTATTTTCTTGGCAGCTATTCATTCTTGAGCCATTTCCAAAAGTGGAACATGACAAGAAATCCCCCAGGATAGTCAAGGCAGATCTGGAAATGCAGCATCGCTACCCGGGCTACATAACCTACCACCTTACTGCCCTCTGTTCAGTAGTGTACACATCACTGCAGCCTGTACCCCTCCAGAACATATAATCATCCCCATCACCCCCAAACCCCAGAGAGATTTCCATCCAATTAGATGGTACTAGTTTATTTCTGTCACAACTTGTTACAACCTGGTTGGATTCCAAGAGGAAAGAAGAGGAAGTGGTCAGGGTCTTTGGGAATTACAGCCTTACAATCAACCAATCCTATGTCTTTTAGCTTGCTGCTCCCCCCACCCCCATGTTGGGAAGGTCCTTAGAAGTTGGAATGTCAGAAGTTGATGGGGCAGGATCTAATTCATATCCAGTTCTAAGCCCTGGATCACTGACTAAAGGAGGTTCTATGCTTTCTATCACTCTTTCAACACTGACCATGATGTAACTGTATCACCTCTCCAAAGAGCAATACCTGCTCTTGCCATAGCCACCTTTCTTTAAAGGCAAGATGTCCTAATCTTAAGAGAATTCCAAGAACTGATTTCCTTGGGAGTTGTGTCCTGTCGTCCAACCTCATCCTCAAGGAAATACTCTCAATTGAAAGTAACCATGCTACCACTAACAGCAGTGGTTACTAACCTCATTGTGGTAGTCCCATCCTGCTCTCATACCTGAAGCTTATCTTGCAGGCCAATATAAAATCATTTTGATTATAGCATCACTATGATTATACTTTTCATCTGACTAGTGTGGTTAGTTTACCACCTTCACAATTTCCTCTTACTGATTCAGAGTTCTTTGAGAATGCTTCTTGAAATCTGGAACATGAGATCTCAACTACAAAACATTTTCTAATAGAATTTAAACTAATCAAGCTGTGGATTTGTGTTTTAGCCATCCCTGAATCCTGAATATGAAAGAGAAACAAACCAGAATAAATCATTAGCTGAAGGTGTTTGGGGTAAGAATATTAGGATTTAAAATGTTTGAAAACTTTTTTTTATTTTTTTATGTATATATATTATTGTAAATGAAAGTAGTATTGATATACATTTATGCCATGATAAAATATAAATATCACTAATTCTTAAAAGTGCTACATTACCTTAAACCGCCCAGTTGGTTTAACTAATAAAAAATTATTATTTTTTCAAAATATTAAACACATTTCATTTTTAAAGACTGCTATGTATGTATGAAATGTCCACAAACCATATTAACCAATTTCTTAACAAGTGCCTCTGAAATAATATGTGTAACTTGGGATTTTGGATTGTAATGCTGCCTTGTGTTTAAAGTAAATATTTCATTGCACTGTGGTACTGTACATGTATGTATGTGTGTATGTGTTAGATTAGATTAGGTTTTTCAGGCTTTTTCCTTAGTCCTTGGGAGCCTTTGAGAATGTTCTTAGGGGTTTTTAAAAGTTAAATCTATTTTGGGGCTTACACTTTTTTGTCTCAGTAACAGGCAACTATATTGCTGATTTTCCACAATGGTTTTGGAGGCTTCATGCTGCCACAGAAAAAAAGGGGGGGGTCATAAGTTGCCCCTCCCAAAATTTTTGGTATATCTTGATTTTTCTAATAGTTCTTAATATTCCATATATCATAGTTAGTATATAGCTGCTATTCATACACGATTAGGCACATGTGTGTATGTCCTCCTATGACTATTCATGTGTTTGCCTGCTAAAAACCAAGATGATATTGATACTGAAAATAAGCATGTGAGATTTACAACAAAATGTGTCTATATCATCACTACCTAGAGGTTCAGCCCATTCTTCCCTATTTTATTTTGCATTGCCTACAGTCTGCTTTGCAAGGCTGCTGTGCATGCTTCATTCTCATTAATGGTTTGGATTTTTAAATTTTTTTCTTTGAGTATTTCTACACACCATTGTTTTCAAGAGTGTTAAGATCTTCCTCTTGTTTTTGAGTTACCATTTTGGTTCATGACCTGTTGGCACGCATAAATTGGAAGGGAATTATTAAGTTCTGTGTTTTTAGACGTAGCACTTGCTGTGCCTAGGTGTAATCAGAAAGTCATTGAACACATATACCTTATCTAAAGTATTTTGATAACTGTATCATCTGGCCCTGAACTACTGTATAACTGATTTCAATGTAACCATGATCTAGAATGAAATATCTTTTTTGTTTCTTCATAGAATATCCTCTGAATCCTAAATCTAGATCTCCACGAATGCTGATTATTAAAAAGGGCAATACAAAAGATTTACAGATATCTGGATTCCCTGTGGGAGGAAATATTCATTCATCACAATTGGTTGGGAATGGAACTGGCCTGAATGTCTATAAAGGTTTAGTTCCTAAACCTATTATTCCACCAGCAAAGGTAAGATTTAAAAATACTATACTTACTGATAAAGGCAGATGAAAGTCCAGCTTCCCCTCTTTTTCAAAGTAGAGTTGCCAATTCCATCTGAAACCCATCCTGTAGATTCCTCCCTCCAGCTCCCACTGTATGCATACATATATGTATATCTGCATGCCAGAAGCAACTTCAAAAAAAGAAGGCAAAAATTGATTACATATTAAAATTGCCTGTAAATTGGATACTCTGCTTATAAAGTTGATTGATTCCCCAATCATTCTCATATACATGGAAGTCACTCTCGCCTGCAACAACAGCAAAGAAGGAAGGGGAAAAAAACCAGAACGGAGATGGAGTGAGTGGTTGTGCTAGAAAGGAGAAGAAAAAGCGGGGAACAAATCTGGATGGAAAAATAACAGAGATGGATAGGAGAGGAAGAGAAGCCCTGTTTAAACATTACAGAAACCATTTAGTTCACCAGGCAACTCCCAAGTGATGGCTAATTGTCAGGCTAAGCTTCAAAGGCAGCCGTGCTTTTCCATCTCAGGTTTTGCAGCCATTTATACGTTTGCCCATTCACTGTTTTTTCAACATGCCTTCTAGTTTTCCCAGTGAATGTAAGACACCTACCCACATACTTCACAAGTAGTGGGGTGAGGATGGGGGATATATCTTCCTGTTGAAAAGTACAGTAAAGCTTGAAAAGTGGGAATCTTACGGATTTTTCTTGCAATATCCATCCGTCCCACCTGGTCAGGCAAGGAGGGTATGCTGCGGACCCCGTCGATGAAAGAATGTCGACTGGCGGGGTCCAGAAAGAGAACCTTCTCTTCCATGGCCCCCTCCCTATGGAATACTCCCCCCTCCCCAGAGGTGAGGCAGGCCCCAACTCTCGTCCTTCCAGAAAGCAGTCAAGACCTGGCTCTGCCAACTGGCATGGGGCGCAC